TCTCAGCTCACAATTCCTTAATTCTGCCCCCATCAAAGAACAGAATCAAATACATCGCATTTACACTTGCAGAAGTGACAGCACAATCAGCTTCAGCTTTTCTGCCAGGAAAGAGAAGATTAAGCTGTAGATATTGCACTCCTGCAGCTCCAAGCATGCCTGGTGCTCCTCCCAGCTCAGTCCCACGCATCCCCAGAGCTCCCAGCTGGCACCGCACTGGGGTGTCCTGGGGAGCACGTGGCACAGAGACATGCTGAGGAGAGGCCTGACCTGGTGGGCCTTTGGTGGTGCCTCTGTCCCCACCGAGATCTGGGCTGCCACAAGCTCTAAGTGCCACCCTGCAGCACGGCCACAGAAGCCACCAGGACCATCCCATCCTCTGGCTCACACACTGCCGGGGGTTTCGGTGCCAGGGAACGAGGAGAACAGAGGGACAGGTCTCCCACCATTTCACAATGGAGAGAGTGTGATGTAAGGTACCTCATCTCCCTTCCTGACCCCCATTCTCCTTCCTCCAAACTTCACAGCTGTCAGTGAGCAAAGCGTTTCAGCATCTGCTCAAATTCCGAGCGCTCACCCAAGTCCATGGATTTGGTGGGATTGAAGCACGAGGAGTTCAGACAACAACAGGATTAGGTTTAAAAATAAGCATTGTACTGAAGCACTTGGCTCTGAAAATCCTAGGGAAAAAAAAATAAATAAAGCTACTCCAGCAGAACTCCAGTCACTCAGCCAAAAAAGCAAGTGGAGTGGTTTTTCCTTAGCTGGTGTGCCAGAAAATAACACCAAGTAGTCCAACGTCTTCCACAGCTCTCTAAAAATACCAGCCAGCACCTGCAACCACAAAGCTGCTAGGTGTCCAGGAGTCACCGGCAACCTTTCCTCACCTGCATTTTGCCAAGGGCAGAGCTCTCGCTGTCCTCTCTGGGTTCCTCCCTTCAGCAGTCTTTTCATGGGGAGCACGTTCCTCACACAGGACAGCCAGGGCCCGTTCCCTTTCCATTGTGACAGGCAGATTTTGCTCGGTGTTCAGCCATGACAAACCTGTATGATACAAAACCACCTCCCCAGAACAGAGCAAGCAGAGCTGGGCACCCCAGATAAGATCAGCAGAGGGTCTTGCCGTGATTAATTGGGATCTGCTGCCAACCGAAGCAGGTGTCCCCAAAGATGTGACTGCAGACAGTCCTGTAGCCAATAACTCTTGTAGATGCAGCTGTCCAGGTGGTCCATCACTCACTGGAATAGGAGAGCCAGGGCTGTTCAGCCTGAAGAAAAAAAGGCTCCAGGGAGACCTTGGAGTCCCTTCCAGTGCCTAAAGGTCCTGGAGTGCTAGGACAAGGAGGAATGGCTTCAAACTGCCAGAGGGCAGGGTTAGATGGGATATTGGGAAGGAAATTTTTCCTGTGAGGGTGGGAAGGCCCTGGCACAGGGTGCCCAGAGAAGCTGTGGCTGCCCCTGGATCCCTGGAAGTGTCCAAGGCCAGGTTGGGCAGGGCTGGGAACAGCCTGGGCTAGTGGAAGGTGTCCCTGCCCGTGGCAGGGGGTGGAACAAGATGGTCTGTAAGGGCCCTTCCAACCCAACCCTTTTAAGGATTCAGGAAATGGGGAAAGCAAAGTTCTGCAGCTTTTACCTGCTACACAGGAGTCTGTGGCAACATGATGGGGAGGGACTGGTCACCTTCACAGGGCAGCAGGGAACCTAATTATGTTCACAAACCTCATTAGGTTTGTCTTGAGGTCTTTCCACAACAAGCTTCTGCTTTCCCCAGACTATGGGGGGCCCTGCATAAGGTCAAGGCTCCACTGTGCTCAGCACTGCAGATAAACACACCTAAAAGCAAGCTCTGACTCTCAGAGATAGGTACAGCAGGAGAGCAGGCACCGAGTGCTGGGCAAAACACAGCACTGAAAGCCAGATCATTATTTAATGCTTTGTTTTACATTCATATTTTGTTTAACAGCCTGAACTACAGCAATATATTCTTTTATGCTCCAAAGGCAAAAATTTGTACTAATGGGGGGGAGAGAAAAAAAAAAAATCAGTCATTTCTCACAATCTCCACAGCTTCTCCCTGTTGACATTGGGAATGCAGGCTGAAAGCATCCTCATTTTCTCTTAAGGCTTCCCTTTCCAGCTGGGAGGCAGATGGAAGTTGACACCCAGCCCTGCCTACTCAACTCAACAGAGAGTTTAAAAAATAAAAAAATGCAAGTTGGCAGCTTCGAGTGCTAGAAAGACATGGGTTTTGGGGGGTGAGAGAGAAAGTCAGTAAGGCAAAGTGCCATATGTGTTGGGTGGGGGAGCTTTTCGATCACACAGCAAATATCCAAACGGGACAAAGGGAGAGGTTTCCCCATTGCACGGGAGAGGGTTTGCGTGCGGCAGCAGCGAGGCGGGAGCAGCACTGCGCTCACACAGAGAACGCTCCAGCCAGGAGTGCAAACACCCACATCGCCTGACACAGCCAGGGAGAGCCCTGGAGGAAATCAGGCTGTGATCCATGAAGTGTACAAAGGTAAAGAAGAGCTTCCTGCAGTCCTGCGCCAGTGGGCTGCTGCGTGAAAACACAGCACTGCTTCCTCCCTCTTTCGAGACATCTCGTTCTCTGTCCTCTCCCAGTCACGTTCCTCACCACATCGGTTGGATGATGGATGGAGGAACAAGCCACCACACTAACAAAAGGAATAAATAGATGACTGCATCAGGAGTCACCTCCAAAATCACAGCAGAAGGGAAACGAGCAGCAAGGTTCCAGCAGGCAGCGACTGCGGTACTGCCCAGCTCCACTTCCCCTGCCAACGGAGAACAATCGAGTCATTTAGTGCCAAACCATGCCTAGAGCAGTGTCAGCAGCCACCAGGAAAGCCACAGGGCTGGTGTCCTGTCCAGCTCCAGCCCATCCGGTTTGGAAGAGATGCACGATGAGGAAAGGGAAGAGAGCAGGGAGAAGCAGCCTCCCCATCACTGCACTTGAAGCAGCACAGGGAAGGGACCTGTGCTTGTAGGCTGCTTCACCACTGTCCTCCTCTGAGCAAGGATGGAGCGAGCCAGAGGTTACCCAAACTGAAGGAAGGGAGTGGGAAAGCCAGTGCTAGGGAAACTGAGGCAGCAGAAAGAAGCTGACCTCTTAAAAGTGGAGTAAAAAAGAAGAGAAGTGCAGGGAGAGGCTGCCAGGGCAACCACGACCCATCCTAGGGCAAGGCTCCTGCTTCCCCTAGCCCAGCCTAAATCACTAACCAAACAATCAAAGAGAAATCACAGTACAGGACTTCCACTCCTCCTCCTCCTCCTCCATACCACCCACCTGTTAGTTTAAAGGTTCGTGAGATATGATATTTTTACTGCAGAAAGCCCCTCAGGGGGCTGGTTTCCATCTACACTGCAGCTCCAAAGCTGCATTTTCACCTTCTCCACCACAACAATAAGGACCAAAGTGAAGGGGAAGATTGTCGGGCTCCAGCATCTGTGGTTTGAGGCAGCACACGCTGAAAGCCCTGCAAAAAGCTGCCGGGAGAGATCCGTGTGTTCCAGCACTGCCCGACCCCGGGGCCGTCAGCACTCGCCTGCTGACAAGTGACGGTGAACAGCCCTGATTCAGGGAGACAACACAAAGCACACGGAGCTTCACGTGGCCTCTGACAGCTGGGCCACCCAGCATTTTAACCATTCTCTGGCTTTTTCCACCCAAAGACAGAATCACAGAATTACTGAGGTTGGAAAAGACCTCCAAGACCATCGAGTCCAACCTGTGCCCGATCCCCACCTTGTCACCCAGCCCAGAGCTCTGAGTGCCATGTCCAGTCATTCCTTGGACACCTCCAGGGCTGGAGGGGGGACACAACAGCAGAAGAGTGTAAGATCTTGTCCACCTGCATGGTAGAGCATTTTCTGTCAATCCCAGTAAGCTTTCCCAAAGCCAAGCAACCCAGCAGGATCCCTGAGGAGAGGGTGGCAGAGCATTCGATTTACTATTTTCAATGTGATGAGAGCTTTCAGAGAAAGCAATTGTGGTGCAATTAGGAATATTACCCCTGTTTTAATAACTACTGGAGATGGCTCTCTCTCCTTCACAGTTCATTTCCCTCTTACCCTTTCCACTAAATAAAGGTGTTACCTATGGATGTTATTTGCTGCTTCATAATTGGCATTACTGCCCTTTATTAGAGGACGTGCTGGAGTGTGACCATGAGGAGGATGAAACCAAACCCTGAGCCAGAATCCTGCCTGGAGCAGCCAAGCAGCCAGCAGAGAACACTTTTCAGAGGCACTGATTTTTACATAAACACTATCCATAAACTTCTCCTCTCTGCACAACACAGCCTCAAACTAGCAGGGTAACATTAACGTGGCAAGGGCAGGTTTTGACAGAAGCCATGCTATGGCAGGGAAACCTGCATTAGTGACAAGTGGCATGCCAGGGACAGAGAGGAAAGAAAGGAGTTGGAATTAGGGTGATGGGATCCCCCCTACCTTCCCTTGCTTCCATGGGAAAGAGTCCTGCTAGGTGTAAAATGACTGAATATTACAGGCCGGTAAGAAATAAAAAATTCATTAAATCATAAATCTTTTGGAAAGGGGATCTACTGGGGAGATTATATTCACTTTTCATGGACATATTAATTCAACAGTGGCATATCATATTGTTCTCTGTGGGGGAAAAAGGCATATTGTTTTAAAGTATGATGTTTAGAGCAGTCCTTTAGGAAGGAAAATAAATATAATCTTGGCAAGGAAAACCGACTGCATGAGCACCGAGGAAGGGACATTAAACACAGGGCCCAAGTTCCAGCTGCTGACAGTCAGCAGAGCTGGACTGGAGTTCCTGGAGCTAAGCCCGAGCATGGCAGCTGAGAATGACAGTCACCCCCATTTAGCAGCAACTCCTTGAAAATGTTAAGTAAATAAAGTCAAGGTGTGGGACTGGTCTCATGGCCCCCTTCCACACTTATTGGTCCCACTCCATCTTTGGCTTCCCACCTCTCTCCTGACTCCACAAATGTTGTGTTCCTTTGAAACAGGCACACGCCTCCTCCCTTTGTCCCTCCGTACCTGTAACAGGGTGGTCAGCACAGCCCCACATGGGACATAGGTTTGAACTCCTCTAGCTTAGCTCCAGGCACGGAGGGCACTGGGATGAGACTCCTGCCCACATTCTCCAGACACTCACCCTAAGCACAGGTCCCTGAGGAGCCCTGCTGTCTCCTGTTCCCTCAGGAGGAACCTGTGGATCATGACAAAAACTCTCACAACAGCTACAGGAAGGGGTTCAGCAAACATAACTTACTGTACAGTAACTGCTCGTGTCCTTGTCCTTCCTCTGTGGTAACTCACAGTCCAAAGTATTTTATTCCAGTGGAACAAGGGGAAAAATCAGTTTAAGGTTTCTGCACAAGATAACAGCGACCGCTGAGCAGCTCCTGGGCCCTAAAACAATTCATGCCCCTTTGACCACATCACCCTCTCAGCCAGCTCAGGCACAGATAACCCACTTGACCCATCAGAAAAGATGGGATTTGCTTATCACGCCAACTGCATTGTCCCCGTGCAAACTCCTGTGGACTTCCCACTTCCCTCCTTCCCTTTGCCCAGCTATGTCGCTGACAGCTTCCCCGAACATCCCAACGAGGTGTGAAATTTGGGGCATCACAGAACTGCACACGGGGCTGTTCCCAGGGAAGTAAATGTCTAGATAAAATGAAAAAGGGCTGATAAAACATTAACCACGAACAGCCCAAACAACAAAGTCAGCACACACACACCCCACAGACTCTTAATGCAACGCTAAGCCAGCTGTACCTTAGTTGTGTATTTGCCATGTGTATCCAATACCTGCTCGAGATGAAAAGCACTAATAAGGCTGTATTTTTTTTCCATACCTGGGCCAGGTTCCCAGCTGAAACAAACAGTTTATACCAGCCAAACACTTGGACACTTAATTTCTGTGGAAACCCTTGTTGCTGGGGAGTTTAACACAGGATTGATATTCAAGGCACACTGGTAGCAGCTCATAGCCCAATGCTGTAGGAAGGCAGAGAGGTCTTAGACTACTCATATAATCCAATGTGAGCAGAAGAAGGAGGCAGTCTGAGCTTTTGCCCAGGGCCCCTGGAAAGCTAATTCTATCTGATTACACCACTTCTTTTCTTTTTTTTTTTTTCCACAGAAGAAATAAACAGTCTATTGTACCAAACATAAGGCTGCCTTCTTTTGAAGAAAGATTTATCATCCAGGATAAATCCATGAGTTCATTCCATTTTAGCCACAAGTCCTCAAAGCTGTTTTTCACTTCACGATGCAGTATCAGTCAGTGCTGCCTCTGTGCCAGGCAGTCCCCAGAAGAGATCACACTTTTCCTTAAAATAAAAATAATAAAAAAAATGCAGACCATCTCATCAGTTGCTTAAAGCCTGCATAGCAAATTCCACGCAGGCGTTTTAGAGCCATGCAAACACATCCATAAGGAGCTGGGACTGGCTCCCCTTCAGACCACAAACACCAGGAATGCGACGGGAGCAACCTGGTCTAGTGGAAGATGTCCCTGCCCAGGGAACGGGGGTGGAGTGAGATGAGCTTAACTGTCCTTTCCAACCCAAACCATTCCATGGTTTTATGGCACGACGTTGCTCATGAAGAGGAGTGACTGATGGGTGACAAAATCTGCTGTGAGTTGCCCCAGGAGAGGACCCAGCTCTGAAACAAGAAGGATAGCTCAGTGCCTCCCCTGCACCAACAGGGGCTCTGTTGTACTGAGCCCGAACCTTGAACTCATTACAATGTCACTCTGTCTTTGGATCCCATATCCTGTCGGGGAATCTTCTGGGAATGTATTTTGGTTCAGACTTGGGTCAAGGAGAGCTGACTTGACCTGAAAATAAATCCAGGCGATCTCGAGCTGAAGAGCTATTGACTACTGTTTGCAATACAATAAAGTGAGCAGATCAAACTCGGCTGAAAGCCAGGGTTAACATAAATCCAAGCAGAAAGGGGAACAAGAAAATTCATTCACCACCATGACAAAGGGGACATTTTTTTGCATTGGCAGTATTCAGAGCAGGGACTGAAAGCACTTCCCAGGCAGCAATTTCAGCGTCCCATACGGTGTGTGCTGTTCAGCCGTGCTGAGATCTCCACCACACTGGCAGGAGGATAAGAGGTATGTGACTGTGTGTGTGTGTCAAAAAAGGGGTGGTGGGTTCTTTTTTTTTTTTTTTTACCATTTTTAACATCACGAGCAGGAGTTCCTCTGCTCAGGCACAGGGCAGCTTTTGTGAGAGGTATTTAATATGGATCCCCAAGGAAAGGTCTCAGTGGCCAGGCTCTGAGCACTCCTGTGTGCACACGTGAGCAATAACTCCTGGCAACCCTTGGTTTATGCTCCAGGAGAAATGCTGGTTGTACTCGCTGCAGCTCCAGGATGAAATCTTCTCCTGGCTCAAGCTAAGGGGAGTTGTACCATTGCCTTCCCTGAAGTTAGCCTTTCTCCTCTGCTAGGAGCTTTTATAACGTTTCTTGGATAAAGCGAGTTTTAATCCAGCTGATACTTCCTGGGTCTGTAGTGCAGGTAGGTCCCTGCCCATGCTGCAATACATCCTCAGAAAAAAAGGGACAATCTCCCCCAACTCTCCTCCCTCCTCAGATCCAGAAGCAGCAGCTTGACTCACCAGCCTCTGCCCATAACACATATCTCAGTTCTGGGTGTCCAGCAAAGACTCAGGAGGATCCTCTGTCCACCCAGTAATTTGGAAATTTTACCAAAGTCACAACTTTAGCAGCAAAGCTGTCCTACAAGGGTCTGACACAGGCATCCTCCAGAACAAGCTGTAGATAACAAGAAGACTTACTATCTTTTGACATCACCTTTTTATGCCCATTCTCAGTATCCTCAGAGTTCTCCTCAGCATGAGCTTGCGCATGATCCCAGCCTAGAGCAGCTGGTTCATCTCAGAGGAAATATTAAATGTAGTGTAGTCCTTCTGCTGGCATTCATTACCCATTCCATTTTACAAAAGGGGTCTGGTCAAATCCCTCTAGTCTTCCCAGACAAGATGGGCCAGGGTAGTTGCTTTCAGGAGATGAAGGCAGCCTCTGTGGGAACACGAGTGCCACATTCCTCATTTGAGTGCAACTATTTCTAAACACAGCTCAGGGAAAGCTGCATATTTATTTTTTTTATTGCATTAAAACCCATTTTATTAACCAGCTTGTACTTTAATGTAGATGATGCCTTTGTTTATAGAATAAATTATGCTGTTCCTTCCCATCTCCCACTGTGATTGCGTGATTCCTGGTCAGATTGTATAATGTTTGATCTAAGAATGTATAAACTCCACTAAACAAAGCTGCAATAGAAAGCTGAATAACAAGTCAAGCTCCAACCTCTCTCCGGGGAAAAAAAGGTGAGTTTGACAAAGTAACATGCTGAGAGAGCCTGAGAATCTTTCCGATGAAACAAAGTATTTTAAGAGGGTCTCAATATTCAAACTCAGCATCTCAGACCTGCACCCTTTAAAGCTGACAGGAACTTCACCTCTGACTCAGTCAAAATCTTCACAAAGTGGTATTTCTTTTACAACTGTGTGAAAATTAACACTTTCACTTGCAATTCGCAGCACCACAGCCCTGCTCACGTTTTTGCTCCAGAAACAAGTTGCACATGAATATTCACAGCCAAGCAATGCCAGCTCACAGAAACTTTCTAGTGCTGGGAAGTTCTTTACAGGACTCTCTCTCCTCCAGATCAGGAATGACAGAAAAAAGGCACAGAGCAGTCACCCCACAGTGACTTTGCAGGTGGTTGCCCAGTCACTTCTCACCCAACCTGCAGTGCAGCGAGGATTTGCTCTGCCAAGGCAAGTCTGTGGAATATGCACATGGAAGCACAAGTATTTTTGAATGGGCACATCTTCCCTTCACAAAAAGCATCCATCATCACAGTAGCTGAGCGTCTCAACCCCTCTTTTCCCTGAGACATGTTTTCAGGACCATCTTAATGCTCCTTTTTTAAAAGCCATTTCCGCCTGGAACAGCAAGAAACACGAGGAAAACCAACCCTGGAGATTTTCTAGCACCCAGAAGAGGTCCCAGTGAGGAGGAAGACCTGCACAGTCTTTTATCCATTACCTGCCCCTTCTTTGCTCAGGTATCAAGTGCATTGCAGTCACAGTATCTGAGCACAGCATGGCAGCTCACACCAATAAAACTAATTAGAAAAGAGAGAGAATCATTGGTTTTAATATCATAAGCTTGATGGAGAGGGAATTAAGCCTTTTTTTTAATGCAGCAAACAGTCTTCAACCTAAAGCTGTGGCTATTTCAACTCTATCTCTCCTGACTGGTGTAATTAAGCCTGAAGCAGGACAAGAACAGCAAGGAAGGGAAGTCACTCAGGAGAAGGGAGTGGAAAAAACGCTGGTACTGCCTCATGAATAGTCACATTTCAAAGCACAGGAATGAACCCCAGCAAAGCAGTGGAAGCCAAAGTTACGAGCTCAGTTACCAACCAGACCCGGGGCAGAGACTCTGCCTAGAACTTTAAAAACCCAAGTAAAATGTCATTCCTTGGTGCTGTTCCATCCTTAAGCCGGTCTGAAGTCATTTCCAGGATCTGCTGGGTGGAGTTACATCATGTACTGGATAGCCAGAGGCCACCCTGCTCCTCCCTTTGCAGGAAGGATGTCCCATCCTCTCCTCCCTCTGCACGACCTTCCCTTTCCAGGGTCTTCTCCAGCACCTTTCAGCTGCACCAAGGCACAAAAGAAAAAGAAAGGAACTGTTTTCCAGTCATGATATTACTGGCACTGAGAAAAGGGACATTCCCTGAGGCTCCTTTCCACTCTCTAAATAGCCAAAAATTTGTTCTCCACCAGAATAGCTTTCAAATGAAAGGCCAGAAAGAAATGTGGAGCTGCCATCAAAACTGTCAGTGTAAACTGGTGAAGCCCTTGCTGACCTCAAGGAAACCAGGAGACTGGGAAGCAGAGAACCACGCTCCTCTGAGTTTAATATATTTATTTAAAAGTGGATGCGAGGAAGGTGAACAAAAATAAGGTTTGAAAGGAGAGAGGGGCTACTTACGGGATGGCAAGGCAAATTGTGTTTACAGGGTCATGGGATAAATGCAACATGCCTCATCTGAAACAAACTGAGAACCAATTAAGCATCTAAATTGAGACAAACACTTGAGCCATTTATTAAGTCTTGCTTGGGGTATTAAGAGAAAATTCAGTTTTAAAAGCAAGTTGCAGATAGCTCTGGAACATGCCTTCTTGCTTTACAGAGCATCTTATAAGGATGAATCAGGTACTAAAGTTCTTGCCAGCAGTTATGTTGCTTGGCTGCCTTAAAAAGCAAACAAATAAACAAATAAAAAAACCCCAACAATGCCTTATGATGCCTGATGGAAACTTCAGGCTAGTCCTGGAAAAATCCCCAGCCCACCAATAGAGCTGGTGGGGAGCGTTCCAACAGGCAGGCTTTGGATAGAAAGAAGGTTTTCTCACAAAAAAAAGTTGGGTTTCATGAAAATATTTCAGTTTTCCAGCAGGACAAAAATTGAAGGAACGACGTCTTAATTTTCAGGCAAGGTTAAGTCATCATTTGGTCTAGATCAGCTGCTACTCCCCACACCCTTCGTGAGTGAAGCTTTCTGCTGGAGCTCCACTAACACAATCCATCCAACCCTCTCCCAGGAGAGACATTGCTTCGTTGGCATCCCTCCTGTATCCCGAGAAACACAGTCCAGCCAGGGGAGAACGGAGGCAGCTGCTCCAGGCTCTTGCACAGAAACAGGAGGACTCAATCACGCTCTTCACATAAAGAAGAAAAAGATCCCCTTGGTTTTGCAGCCAAGCTGCAGTGATGAGTCGGGACGCTGATGTCAAGCCCAGCAGTGTGACTGGCACACACCCACAGCTGGCTCGGGGAGCAAGGCAGGGAAATGTGTGGATTATTGCACGGAGCCAGGGCTGGGAGCAGCAGGATTGCCACCAGGCCAGCTACAACCTCTGCTGGTCGGGCTAAATCCTCTGCAGCCCCCAACAACCCATTAATGGCCAGATGGATGAAAGGGAGGGCAAAAGGCACTTCCAAGCGGTCTGTAAGATCTTCACCGAGCGGATAATTGTTCCAGGCAAGAGGCCCACACATCAGGGGTGACTGGGCTTGCAAAACAGAGGTTACACACGCTTTTGGGGCCTTCCAGGTTCATCAAGGCATTTTGGTCCCTTCTTCAGGACTTGGGCATGAAGTATTTATTAGCACAGACAAGTGGCTGGGTAGCAGGGACAGCTGGCCACAGTGGGGCAAACACCTGGTCCCCACGACCAGGCGCTCCAGAACAACTTCTTGTGTGAGTGAGGACATGCCAGGAGGTCAGAAGCAAAACAAGAACGAATTTAGGGCAGTCCCTGGGACTCCTAATTGGTCTCACAAGCGTGCACAGTGTGTTTGCACAGAGCAAAAGGTACTGCTCACTGTGTTTGGGCTGTAACTATCAATAATCCTTTGTGATTGCCCAGGAGTTCAGGGCAGGTCAAGACGCCACTAACGATTCCTTTGCTCCAGAGATCAACCTGACGGGTATTTACTTCATGTCCTGAGCCATACAACCACTGTTAGTTCTGTGTCAGCTAATCTGAGCAGATGGGGGCACACTGATGGAATCTCAGCCCCTCAGGATTGTTTTGTCAAAGGACCATCGTGCCCTGCCTCACCTACAAGGATTTGCTGGCATTCCATGAGCATGCCTGGAAGAGCACTGAGTTGGAAATCCCAACATGGAGCCAGAAATAAAGACTATTTCTCTGCCTATGTACTGAACAGCAATCTCTTGACCTTCCCACTAGAGAAAAATTTACCTTCGTAAGATTTCAACCAGCGTTTACATCCCTGTAACAAATCCACACAGAACAGGGCAATGAGCCAGATTAAGTGGCTGTGAGAGTTTTTGAGGTCAGTGAAGTCAACAGAGTAAATTTCATGTTGGGCTTCTTTCAAATAATGTACAACAAAGCCACTTATTTACTCAAAAAGTATCTGGGATGACATAACCCTGCTCACACCAGCAAGAGCCAACTGAGGCTTTTCACCCCTTGCATACGTTTGGCCACTGAAGTCTTCTCTCAGTTACACCTGAAACTTCACACTTTGGGACAGTTCCTTTTGGAATCCTTTAGGATCTGAGGCTACCAGCTAAACATCAAACAGCCTACCAAGGACTTAGACAGAAAGAGGGTAAAACAACACTCTTGAGAGTAAAATGTGGTTCTGCTGAAGATAACATAAATTGTGTTTGGTCGAGACATCCAAGGTTAGACCTGGACAAAGCCACTCTCAGAACCAACAGTAAAACTGTGTAGTTCTAAAATACAACTGATTGCATCCACACAGAATGACACTGCATAATAAAACCCAAGCTAAGAGTCCCACCACCAGCAGTACTTAGCAAAGACAGTCCATTCCACAAAGTCCCCAGTGGGGACCCCCGGGAGAGGATTCAAGAAGCAAACTGACCATGTTTATGACTTGTCAGGAGCTTGTAACTTGCCACATAGGTTCAGTCAACTCTCATACTTATTCCTACCTTCCTTTTCTCCTTCCTGCAGATAATACAAGGGTTTTCAAGTAAGCCTGGTACATGTCAATGCCATCTCTAAGGATCCTCGTTCCTGGATGGATCCTCATTCCTGGATATTCACAAATGTTTTGTTGCACAGCTGAAAAACAGGAGAAGAAATAAATTACAAAGCATCGTGAGCGAACATGCCCTCCCGTGAGGCACTTAAAGTACTTATAGGAATAATTTACAAATGCATTACAAAATCCCTTGCTCTTTAAAGTGATGCTGATGCTGCAGAAAATTATAAATCAATACTGCAGAGGGCTTTCAAAACTGCTGTTACTTGGGGTTTATGAGCGGGCCTATGATGTCCAAGTTAAACGTGAGGGCTGCATGCCTACAAACCAGCTACGTTCTTCCCTTCTGTGGGCTTTAGGCTGTCAAATCAGATGCAGAAATAGCTTCAAAAAGGGTTCAGAAAATGTAGGCGCACCCCAAGAACCTGACAAATTGTGCCTGCTCTGGCAGACACAAAGCCATCTGAACCACTGAGGAGCAGCAAAGCTTTAACACATGGAGAGTCACAGGCTTCTGGTGACACGGAGTTGTTGGCAGCTGCCCAACTCATTATGCCCTGCCATCCTTTGAAGGCTATAAATCAATACCCCACACGCTGCTACAAGCTGAGCCCACGGGTCGGGACGTTCTCTCACCCCCTCAGTGCAGGGTAACACATTGCTTGATCCTGCCATGGGGAGTGAAGAGGGGAGCGAGGAACA